TTTTTTTTTTTTTTTCGATCCTCTCGAGTCCTACTGCGCAAAGGTCAAAAGTCGAGCGCTGCGTGGCGACAACGCTAGCATCGCTTTCATCCGGTGAGGCAAGATTAATAGTGTTGCAGATAGATACATTCTTGCCTTTCCGCTTTAAGTCCAAGATTTATCCGTTGAGATAAGTCTGTTTCCTCCTTGCCTTCTTAATTTTCTTTAGTTCTGTCAATTATAAATCGTTCACTCACAAAACAAAGTTATCAGAACGGTTCGCGAAGAATTCAAATTCACAAACAGGATTCATTAACGTTCGGGATGGGAACGTGACGTTCCAGTTGAAACAACCGAGAAACATCGCGGCACGAGTCTGGCGTCGGTCCAGAACAAAGATCGACGATCCATGCGAAAGAAAAGATCACTTATCTTCGGATTTTCGCATCGATCATCAGATTCGAAAGCCTCCGGCATTCTTCAGCCTGTTTCGATATTTATGTAGTTTACTATTCCGTTACCACGAAAGTAGGCGGACAAACGGACATTAACAAGACCAAGAAACAAGTTTGACGGACGTTGACGTCGGATCCGCGTATTCACGACCGTTCATTCGCGACTTCCGCTATCCGGCCGTCACTGGCAAACCGCCGGCGTGCTACGGAACAACGATGTGCGGGAAACTGAATCATCACCAGACTATACCGATCTTCTTAGTTTAAAGAACCTGTTGAGTCTTTGCAGGATTCTGTTATTTCTCGTTGTCCTCGAGCGAATAAGATCCTTATGTACAAGGTTGTCGAAAATCGAGGACAAAGAGCAACGAGTTTTCTGTGTTATTTATAAAAACTTCAAACGCGATCGCAAAATTATTTCTCTCGCACTCGCATTGAATTTTGCAACCCGGACCTTCAACACGGACGATCGATAAACAGCGATAAATAGTGTTAAACGATGTCACGTCGTGTCACGAATAACGTTACTTTTGAAAACAATACAGAAGAAGAGTCCTGTCAAAGGAGGACACTATACGATTGCGAATCGTATCGCGTCTGACGCTCACTGACAGTATTCGCGACTGGTGAAAAGTATGCCCGTGAGCGGCAAGCAGCACCACGAGAAACTCCCTTCCCTTGGCGAATCGCGGGAGTCCCCACCATGGATATGCACTCGTGAGAGAAAGGACAGAGGTTCTCATTTCATCATTCTCTCCCCCGCAGTCGTTCCCATGTATGAGTGCAACGGCACCTTTTTTTTTACTTATGGTCGCAAAGGTCCGGGTCTCAGAAATTATAAGGCCCCGCTAACTTCATTAGCAAAAATAGGTGTAATAAGCTGATGAAGATAAATGTAACTTCTCGTGTATGTAGTGTAAAATATACGGATACGGGGAAACAATATGTAATCTAACTTATAATACACACAAAAGTATAATCATAAAAATATTTATAGTGTACAAAAATAATCTTTACAAGTTTATATTTTTAGTATTTTTGTATATATACTATTATTAATTAAATTTAATATTTCATCTTTATAATGCATTTTGCAATAATTTAACATTTTTTTACAATCTATATTAAATGTTTCAAAAATATTCGATTAAATAAAAGTTACAGCTTTAAGACATTCAAACATGTGTGTTTTTTTAATTTATAACGTAAAGCAAATCTGCATTCTAAAACGTCATGAAAATGAAATGACTAATATAAATTTTAGATATGATTAATGAAAAATTTCCACTTTATCGTGACGTTAAACAACCACGATATACGTAGATATGAAGAATGTTCGCTGTTAATTACATAACTATAACGACACGGATGAGTGATAACATTAATGATCGGATCAGTTGAGAAAGAGAGGGAAAAGCGACAAGCATTGCATTTTTACGTGAAAGTAAAACGCGGCACGTCATTTATTACGAAATGGATACGATATATCTTTGTCCAACAGAAATCGAATTCCGGAAGAAAAAAAATTACATAGAGAATAATTGCTTTTATAAATTCACATAGAATTATAAAACACTTAAGATCCAGCTAGCTAAGATCCGTTTAAGGCATTTATTTCTTATCTCCTATAAATTTTAATATTGTGCATTTATTAGTTCATATTGTGGAAAAACGCATGAATACCTAAAATCTAATATGTTTGGAATTTTTTCAAAAGATGTATATAGGAGAAAACGAATCTCCAAAAAACAAAATTTTATAAAAACCATTTTTATAAAGAAAGATTATTTATAAAGGCGTAAAATTTGTTCAAGCTATGATGAATACATAATTTTTCCATTAATGACGCATTATTAATAAATAAATAACTAAACAATTTTACTGTCAACACAAAATTAACGTCGATGATAAGTGTCTGTTTGATATACGCGTAAATTACTCTTGCAGTTCTTACCCGCACAGAATGTTTAAGTTTACGAGTTACGTCATCACATATTTGTAGCAATCTTTTAAGCATTATGTATTTACGTCTCAATTTACGTAAATAGTAATAATTTCAATACAGACGGTACTTAAACATGTCGAACTAGGATAAATTTAAGTGAATGTAATAAGCAACAGAAAAATGTGTACGTAAGAAAATCAAATAAGAAACATCAATTTCTATATTTCTGCTTCCAAAAGTTGTAAAATTGTTTCACGCAATGTAATTATAAATTTTTTTCTCATAAATTTACGGAAAATTACATAACCATTACGTTACCTATACATTTGTTGTTAATTGCTGAAATATTATTTATGCTCGTTAATCAACTAATAAGAAAATAATTGAAGCTATCCCTTTTGATTGAAACTACTGTTTTTCATTGACTTTCGGATGTCTCAGCGAAATAACATAAAATAAATAAATATGGATATTATTTTTTCACGTAATTGGAAAACTTACGTAAAACAAAACTTTCTAAGTTTTATAATTAAAATTAAAAGCAAATATATCAAATTAGTTCTAAGAAGACATTTCGCATTCTATATTAAGATACATATATATATGTATGTGAAATAAGTTTATCTCTTATATTTATTTTACGACATAAACGTTCATCGAACTTGAACAGATAATTGCAAACGTAAAAGATAAACAAAATTGAAAATCACACGGTGCCATTGCTTGACAGCTTAAATGCACAATGTTGATTTTTCTTTTTATATATATGTAAGAAAAATATATATGTCATATTTTATATATGTAAGAAATATGCGTCAAAAAATCCGCAATTATTTAGATAAGCATGCATGATATCATACGTAGTTATTATAAATTTTCTCATCCACTTTTGCTAAAATAATGTATTTTCTTTTACTTTGCCTAGTCTATAAATAAAATTACGATATCATATTTTTTAAATATTTGCACAGATGTGAAAAGTACAAGGAGGTTTGTAAACATCTCAAGGCAGAATAAGTTTCGCTTATAATAACACTCCGGTTAATAACAATACAATCATTCTTCTTAGAAAGACTCGTTGCTTTTCCAGTTATTTCTATATTGTCAATTGTAATTATGCAGGAAAGAAATAAATGGTGAAAGCTTTTCCTGTGCGCGGAATATTTTGGATGAACGTAGTCAGGGAATAATAACAAGTGCGAAATTTGCGTCGATGTTCTCACATAAAAAACATCGCAAAATGCTAACAATATAAGAATAAGAATTGATTTGCAAGCGAAAGTTTTTTCTAAATATCATAACAGAATCATTTTTATTCTCGACGCGTTGCGATGGAGAAACGGTCACGTATAAGAGAAAATTAGCTCGTATAAAAAGAGATCCCAATCAGTAGAGAAATCAAATGGATTACTATTATAATATATAGTTTCAAAATAATTTATTAAATATAAAATAAATAAATGTATCTATAAATCTTTTTTTCATTAATTATGAATTTACTTAGAACAAGTTTCTATATTTTATAGTAAATACTAAAAGCAAATGTATCAAGTTAGTTTTGACAAGTCAAACCATAATTTACATAAAAATACGTGTAAAATAAATGTATTTCTTATATTTTGAACTATTCTATGACATGAAAGTTCGTTAAACGATTCACACAGATAAGCAAATACTTTTTATTCACTTTGTACGGAACTGAAACTTTTGCAAAAACAGCTAATATTTATTTTCTGTTTTCATTGTGTGATATTGTCAGCGATCTATTTATTATTTAATTTGTCTTCAGGCAGAGCAATTCTCGTGACGCTTTACAAATTTTCCCGAAACTGTCACATTTCATAAAGATAAGTAGCTCTTTACTTACCCTCCATGACGAAGACAGTAGAGCCGACATCTCCTTCTTGTATAATTATCGAACCAGCTGGAAATGTAACAGGATACATGCAATCGACAATTTCCCGGATTTGCGTAAGTTCCAAATTTTTCATGAAGTCGTTGTCCAATATGGCAGTCTTGATCAGCTCGCGAGATCTTAAAAAAAAAAAGAAAATCGTTGTTAAATTTCTCTCTCTCTCTCTCTCTCTCTTTCTCTCACATACACACACATACACTACTTCTCTATTACTCTTTTTGTATTAAAAGAAATAATATTTCTATGGAAAAACAAAAGCATGAATAAGTAACAAAAATATAATATTAAATGTATCTGAAAAATCTTTTTCATGAATAGATTCTTTAACAAATCTAGAAAAATTCTTAGAAAAAATCTAACAAAAAAATAATAATATAAATAAAAAACTTTTTTTATTTTTTTGTAAGTATAATAACGAGAATTATGAAAAGTGCTATTGTCATAATTTTTTTTATATAATAAAAAGTGTCATATGCACTGCATACTAACTTCACAGATCGAATCATTTATGCGTATAGTTTAGTTACCGCTTTCAATAAAGTTAATTGAACGATTCTTTTGTAGCAGAATCTATATTATGAAGCTTTGACAAAATTATACGCTTTATTCAATATCATGTTTATAAACAGTGTATATAAATATCTTATTTATACTCAAATGAGCATACATGTTTACTGTAATCATTTTTGTGTGAAATGTATCAACATACAAGTACCTATAAAATCTCAGTTGCTACCGCAATATCAGAATTTATATAAAATATAAACGCAGCAATAAAAATGACAAAAAAGCTTGAATGCATTTCTCATCGGGGGGATTCGGGAGTCTTTGATGAATAAAATAGAAGTCATGCGACGTTCAAGATACATTTGCCAATCTACCTTTGCGGCTTGGTGAACTTCACCACCGGTTTCGTATCGCTTCTGAGAGGTTCCGCCGATATAGCTTGTCGCTTCAGTCTCTGATTACAACAATCGATGGCAGTAGACGCCAGGTTCAACTCGACAATCTGCCGGAACTTATCGATCTCATTCTGAAGGTAACAGATCGTAGCGTCGCGCTCCTCGAGCGCCTTTTCAAGTATTTCGACGATCTCGTCACGACGTCGCAACGCCTCCGTACGTTCGTACAGCAATCGCTTCAAATCTCGTATCGAATCCATTTCCTTTGCTCTTCACTGTGCAAAATTCACGAATGGCACTCTTCCTCCCCGTCAAACGATATCACGCGCGTTCCCGCGTGCCATACACTGCGAAAATGTCACGCTGCACTTTTATTATCCTTTAATGGACCTTTAGATACAAGCGCAAGAACGAATGAGAAAGTGCATGACGATCAAAAGTACAGGACGATCAAAAACTATAGAAATCGTAAAAGTTCACACATAAACGTATCTGTAATATATCTAATAATCTGATGTTCCAATGAACCTTAAAAATCATAACAGAAGTGACGATATATTTGTATACATATTGATCTACAATTTAATTAGCAATTTTTACTTTTGAATCCGTAATCAAGTCTAAAATTTTGATATGATTGATAAAGACTTTTTTTAACTATTTAAATCATAGTTTTTTTTTTGTTAAATATCTGTATGTTATTTAGATCTATTAAAAGAACGCAACATTAAACAAAATTTATTCTAAAATAAAAAGTTTTGTTATATTTGTTATATGTTTTACACAATTTATATGTATAAATGTTATAAAAATCTTAATAGTCAAATAAAATGAGTCGAGTGCAAAATTAAAGTTTCTGTCGAACATCGAAGACACGATTCCAAAAGTTAGCAAGATATATTTATTTCCTCAGTAATAAGCCAAAGTTAGAAGCACAGCGGTTATATAAGATATTAGATACGAACAAATCTACATAAACAACACAACAAAAAGGATATTGTAGAAAACTTTCTGGAGAGAATAATGACTGCTAATATTATCTCGAGAAACAGGTCTGTACAATATAATTACACGTTGCTATGCACAATTACGAATCGCGCTTGTACTCGAGGTGCTTTACAATAATATCAAGAGAGTAATAAAACGTGCTTATAATGTAAGAATATTAGTGTATAAAAACTTCTTTATATCTTAGATATAATCCTTCGACAATATGTTATTAAGAATTCTCGAATGCTATATTTAACTAACACGTTTGTAATTTGGATTGAGACATGAAAGAAATATTTTCAGCATTTTTCACATAAACATTTCTTTAAATACTTACTCATATTGCTCATTTTATTACATAATCAGAGAAAAAAAAACAGATAATATATAAATAGAAATTAATTACGTATATCGTATAGCATTATTATATGAGTAAAGCAATAAAATCGCTGGAAATTGTACGATTAACAATTAAATATTTTATATCAATTTACACATTACACCAATCGATTTGATAATTGAACATATACAAAGAATTATCATTAAAATTAATTATAATGGATAAAGCAATAAGATTGAATGGAGCAAATGTTCACCACTCGCAATCCGCTTCAATCAAGGCAATCTATGTTCTGACGTCCAAAAATGACGAGTACTATTACATATTCGTCACGAGTTGTTTTCCTTGTTGCTACATTATTATCAAAATATGTGGCGCACGAGCAAAGTTGGACTATCAAAACTTGTCGGTATTTCTCAATAAAAAAATGAGATACATATAATATGCAGATAATCCTGGTTTATTAAATACGCCAATAAGGAGAACTTCACCGATTTATCTAGACTTTGTCAAGCGTTGCTCAATTTGGAGCAGACTACCTCATTCAATCTGTCTTAATCAAGCCGTCGATCTACAACATCACACGACACTCAAAGAATGATCAGTATTAACTCACTCATGTGTCTCGCGATCGCCAACTAAATTGAAAACTAAATGAACCTTTTTTTCAAATCGTATAATGTTGAATTGACTCTAAAAAAAACTTGCAATCAAGTAAAGAATTCGCTATAGATAAAATCATATAGACATCTCGATTAAACCAGATTTTTTTAAATGTCCAATTAGGTATATCTCTAAATTTCACATTCACACTTCAAATCTTCAATGGCATCACATGACAATGTCACGATGTAAAATCATTTCTGTTGGACCAGAAAAGTGGAGGATCGAGTTGTTGAGAAAAAGGTAAGAGCGTAATTAACTTCCTCGAGTTAAAAATTCTTTTCTTTTAGAGAGGATCCATAAACGTTAATTGAGTCCTAGTTAACTTCAACCGTATAGCTCACTTACAGGTGCAATTTATAAAAAATCGATTCTAACGGTATACATCGTTGACCCCTGTTAGCAATTCAGACGCTTCTAGTGCTTTGGCATTCTAATGTTTAAGCAGGGACCGATATATAACATCACCAACATTCAATTTTCCATTGCAATAAATGCGAGTGAGAAAAAAAAGAGGGAATCTTACGGCGAATATACATAACATTTCCATTTGCGAAACACGAGCGATTATCGTTACGACGTCAAAATTTGAACTCATCAAGATTAATACCAATTTCAATTACCCGATAGTAGTATCGCGTTCGAATTAACGATTTACGCGAACACAATCGCGCGTAAAATGGATCTTTCGAAAAATCGCCCGCGGCCTGTTACTTCCCGTAGTGACACGATCGAACTGACGATTGGTAAGCGCAAAAAGACCACTAGGACCACGCGTTTACACGCACATAGTAGTATGTAACCGAAGAAGCACTCCGGGTTCGCGTGTTAGACGGGGCGGCAACGACTAACGATCGTGTAGTACGCGCACCAGCTATTTTTACGTTTTAATCGCGACTCTTGCGACTTCCTCCAAACGCTCGTTCTCCCATCATGCACCCGTCGTCATCATCGTATTCGCGCGGCCGCTTCGACAGCCAATTAAAAAAAAAACAGGCTTCTCCTTTCACCGTTCATTTTGGCCCTCCGTTCGCCGCCTCTGGCCGATTACCGATACGAATATATATACGTGCCGATCTATCCCACGAAATATGAAATGTGCTCGCGACTTGAACGCTGACAATGGCGTAGGGAAAAATAGGGGTGTCAATCGAGGTTTCACAAGTTCAATATATGTTACTTGTGAGCGATTTGAAAATTAATTGCTACATGAGATCTGTGGATTTTATAACTCTTAGTTCGTTTAATACTAACCCTTTAGCATTAACTTAAACAGCGACATTATGGAAACAATACACTTTGATAAGGTACACCCAATCCATTCGACTGCTTTTAACTTTCATAAAAATAAATTGTAAATAAATTTGTTTCAATTGAAAACCAGATATTAAAAAGTACAAATTCTGAAACAAATGTACCAAATAAATGTATGTATCTTTACTAATAAAAAAGTTACAAGCATTAGGAAAGTACTGGGAAAAGAAAGTCTTTTGTACGTTATAAGGCTAAAATAGCGTAGGGATTAAGATTGATAGTGATATTTGCTGTATTTTTTCCCGTTCCATATAATCTATATCATCTTTATAGAACAATAGATAAGAATCTCTGATAAAGTAAACAGGTAAATGAGATTTCGCTTCTTCAGAAAAACGTAGAAGCTCTGTATGTGTAAAAATTATCGTTGTTTTGATAAGACATTTCCTACCAGATAAATTTTTCCAAGGCTCAAGTTAACTTCGAAAAATAATGCCAGGTATTTGTACTCGCTACGCCATTGGTTGCGCGTGTACGCTTTGTCAGTCTACTCTTTGCGTTGGCGAATGCCTCGAGCGATTTATGCCTCGTACCCGATGCGCCCTACATATAAAACCGGCCTTTAGCCGGTTGCGGCCCTGACGGCTTCCTTGACTTTGGCACGTTGTAACCACCAAGAGAAAAGGAGTCTCTCTCTCTCTCTCTCTCTCTCTCTCTCTCTCTCTCTCTCTCTCTCTCTCTCTC